CCAACTCACCGAACTCTATCATAGCATACTTACAGCACTGGAGAATCGTGAATATACTGCTCTTGTTTTTTGTGACTTTTCTAAAGCTTTCGACCGAGTCTGGCACAAAAGTCTATTAATTCAATTAGAAAAATACGGGATAAAAGGCAAATTTTAGATTGGATTAAAAACTACTTAAGTAACAGACGCCAGCCAGTGGTACTAAAACATGTTCTATCTTCTGAAGTATCTATCAAAGCCGGAGTTCCTCAAGGTTCAGTGTTAGGGCCACTTCTTTTTCTTGTATACATCAACGATATTTCAAATACATTACATGTACTATCAATGACTAGACTTTTTGCTGACGACGCCGCATTAGCACACTCTTCCAAAAATTAACACGATATAAAATAAGTTATAAACTACGACAGGGAACAATTAAACCTTTGGTCAAATAAATAGTTAATGAATTTCAACCCAAATAAAACCGAAATTCTCTTAATTTCCAACACAAATATACCTTCTAACCCACAATTTCTTTTCGACAACGCACCTATCCCTATTGTTAAAAAAACATAAACACCTAGGAGTCATTATTAGTAACAGCGGCACATGGAACTCTCACATCGAACATATACTAACAAACACTACAAAGTACATTGCAACTTTAAGGAAATTAAAATACATTCTAAATAGAAAAAACTTGGAAAAATATACCTTGTTTTCATAAGACCACTATTTGAATATACCTGCGAAGTATTGGACAATTGTAATATCACATTTTCGCATAAATTAGAGAACATGCAGTATGAAGCAGGTCGAATAATAACTGGATTACCTAGTTATACAAAAAAAGAATTTATTTACAGAGGGCTCGGATGGAAATCATTGATAGATAGACGCAGGCTTAGAAAATTATCCATGTTTTATAATATCTATCCTGATAATGCTCCCTCATTTCGTAAATCTCTTCTTCCACCTATTGTGTCAAACTTCTCTAACTATAATCTTAGAAACAGGAATATCTTTCAGAACCCATACTATAGACTGCAAATCACAAAATCATCCTTCATACCAAGTACTTCAGACTACTGGAACAATCTATCTATAGAAACAAAGTCATCAGCATCCATTAAACAATCTAAAACTCTTATTCAGCCTCAAGTCTGGTGACACAGGAGATAGGCAAATGCGGCGCGGAATGTGATTGAACTTTAGAAAAGCAGAAGGATATGGGTGTATAGATTAGTTATACTACTTACGCCGACTCGATTGGTAAAATCACACACGCGATCTCAAGTAAACTCTCCGAATACATACTTAAGAACTATACGTTGGTGTCCCTAATCCTATCTTACCTCTTTTGCTGTTACCCATCTTTAACATCTTATATATACATACATATATGAATTTGTATTAGGTTATTACGTGACTCATTAATTTTGTATATATATTTTCTGTTACGGAAAGGACGTAAGTAAGTTGCAATGACTTTTGTCCAATCCATTTGCCTTTTGTTGCAATAAAATTGATTTAAACTAAACCTTTTTTCGTGTAGGAAGTGAGTGTGTCGGTGCTCTGGAAGGTGTTATAACTGGTGGCGTTGCGTCCTTGCTTGAACTAAAAATAATAGTAAACACGTAGACAATTCACAATAATGCATTAGCTTGCGGTATAATAAAAGAGTAATGTAAGGGACTCTTTTTGGACAATATACTTACAGAGTAGTGTGTCATAATACTGGTCGCTTGCACACCGTTCAGGTAAAACTCCGGTCAATCATCAAAATGTTATTTACCTGTTCTGTTACCTGGCAGCCAAACCTATTCTTGACATCCTAACTGACACTGCAATGCTGTGTAAAACTGAACATAATCCTAACAAATATGATGAGAAATTTATATAAACAGTGTTACTTATTCCACATGAGGGTTCAGTTCCATATTTTGTTCGTTCCGTAATATTGATCAACCATTTGTACCAAATCGCACATTTGTGCAGAGAGAAGCGCACAACGGGGCGAACGATTGTTTAATCGCACATATGTGCGCACCACGTGTGGACGATGTGCGGACGGTGTATGCACGATGTGCACACGCTTGTGTTGGTGTGTTTGCGGTCACACGACTGTATGTGATTGTAGTCATGATTATTTAGAAATGACGTTATACATTGGTACCTTCCTTTACAAGGATAACAGTTAGACACACACCTTAACATCTGGATATAGATGCTGCCAACATCTAATTTGATGACCAACTATTTGTAGTATGATTGTATGAATACTATGATGCAAACTATCCAAATATCAAAGGAAACCTGGTCCATACGATCCAAATATTGGTTCATAGAACAGATTTTCTTTCTGATTTGCAATTTTATAAATAAATAAGACAGATATAGACATATGTATAAATAAAAACAATATCAAAATAGTAGAGGTAACTGTAAATTATCGTCAACTATGTTGACATTTTATCCCGGACGTCTAGAGCTCTTCCTTGATACCGCAGCGTATACGCTCAATTACGATATCATGTCCTAACAAAGTTAAAGGCATGTGACTAGTAACATAGTTAGTCTCAGGTAGAAAGTGTTAATCTGCACTTACTTTTTATTGTTAAATTCATGCAGAACTGCAAAAGATCAATGGTCGAATGTACATTCAGACACCGTTTTGGAATTGTCTTCAGTAAAATGTATTCGGACAAGAAGACACAAAGAACATTTTTTTTCAGTTCACTGTTTTCAGTTCTCACACGTTGTAGTTCGTTTACTCATGGAGAATATATTTCATTGTCTCCGCTTAATATTTCCGGATTCCTCTTCTCCGTCATCCCTCTTCCGGACACTACAGTGTTATCTGATGACACAAAGAAAACTTTGAGAAGCAAAAGCACCAAAACCGTGCTACAGGATATGTTTGCAGATTTCATAGAGTGAACTCTAATAGGATGTATTAAAGGAGCGTAGCTGGGACATAATCTTGTGTAGGCATTTGAGGAATTCGTTAAAAATGTGCTGTTTATTTTCTTTAGTTTAACAACAACAGTTTATAAGTTAAACAAAATCAATTGATAAGTGTACCAGTGCGTTTTATGATTCAATGAATGAGTGGTAATATTTAATGTAAGGATTTTAGTATAGGAATGTTCAATTAATTCCAACTGGCGACAATATTTATTAAATGATTCTTATTGTTGGGAGAGCGGTTCTTGGATAAAAAAAAAGAGAGAACACCAAAGCATAAGCGAAGTGTGAATTCAAAATCGATAAAACGAAGGTAAAATTTGAACAAAAGCATGGAAACCACATGGAAACAAACTGAGAACTTACGGGGTAGTGACAACAAAACGACACTAATGAGCATAATCAACAACATCGACCTTCATATCACGCAAACTTGCCAATAGTCTTCATTAAGCTGCATCTTTGAAAATCCTGTATTGTAACTGTGTCCGTCAGCATTCTACATTTGTGTTATCAATATGAAGTCGTAAAGTTTTGAAGTTATGCTATTTGCAACAAACTCTTGATTACAGACCGAAGCAACAGCATCATGGGAAAGCAGGGATGTTACTGTCAAGAAAAATAAAGATCACAATCGGAAAAAAAAAGTAACGCTGATCGAGGCGTACTTTTAAGAGGTCTCTTTTAATTTTGTTTTGAGTAAAGATCGAGGAAAGTGATTAGCTAGCATTTCGTCCTTCGAAAAATTGGAAATGGAATAGGTATAGGGTTACCTTGGTTATCAATCATGCTTAGTTCTAAATGATCACATTGTCGTAATCTGTTAGCCTTCCTTCGAAACGCAGGAACATGGAAACTTGTTACAGCTATATTTGGACATAAACTAAAGTGTTCAGCGTAATTTTACATGTTTTGGGGATTGGATACCCGGCCTTTTCCCCTTAAAAGTTGTTAGGGTCTCCAAGTAAATAATTTCTATGTCCTTATGATGCTAACGTGTCATGGAATTACGGTTTTGTTATACTCTTGTATTTCCCTGATATATCTTCTTAAAATATTAGTTGTTCCAAGTCTAACATGTTAGGAAAAGGGAATTCCTAAGGCAAATAAAATTGTGTTTCAGATACCCCGACCGATCCTAGTTTTTACCTCAAACCCCGATATTTCCATGTCACCCGAACGCACTTAAACGTGGCATTCGATTATTATAAAATTTCCTAAAACAAAAATCCCCTCCCCCCTAATAAAATAAAGAGTAAAATATATCATTGTTTTCTTGTTTATGCGCCGACTAGCTGTTGGTATGAACATTAGTGTGACAGTTGTTGTTAAAGGTACATCCACTATTCTCGGACCAAAAGAAAAAGGATAGGGAATTTGATTTGAGAAATAAACGTGTGTGTGAGTGGGAAGGGGGAAGGACCGTTGCTGATCGTCACAAATGTGCAAAGGACAGTGACATCTAAGGCAAGTTTCGTTTTACATATTAAAAGAAGAATACATTAAACCATAAGGCCACAAAACACGATATTCTGTATTTAGTTTTCAATTTAAATTACATTAAATGAATCCCCAATGGCTCCATTACATTTAAACACTTTTATTTATTTTAACTTTCGAATTACTGTCATTTCAGTAATGCGAGTTCTCTCCCTTATACCACAAATTGTACAAAATGACCAGTATTCTTATACCTGACACCACATTAATTCAATTGAAGACCTTATTTGGTATGGTAGTTTTTTTAAATAACATCAAGATGTTGGCTATTTCTTTCAAATTTACATACGAAATTTAAATGTATATTTTTTTAGATAAAATCAACAAAAGGTATGTACTTCCTCTCAGATCATCTGTTTTTTCCTTTTACCAAAGTTATGTTAGCTTTTAGTTACGGTTCTTCTTCTTTTTTATCTCGAATATGTCGCATATGAACTGTCAAGTTACAGTTATTTAATCAGTTCCAAACAATCTTTCTTGTTTCGTTATTTTAATGCAGAAAGTGAAAGTACCGTACATTATATATACAAAACGAAAGTAGCTATGTTTTCCCAAGACGGTAGTATTTATATGTACAATTAATTGGTGACCGAAGTCGGGGATGGAACACCTGTCATCCAGCATTGCTATTTGCTGCCTATGGTTAGTATCAACTTTATTTTGTTCAACATGATATACAATACACGATAAGTAGTAAAACAGGGTTTGTTGTTATGAGCAAACCCTTGTTCAGAGTGGATTCGTTAAGAGTGGGTAGAGGGCAGGGGGACAGGTGGGTGCAACAAGCAGTGTTTGTCGTTCTGTTTTCCTGTTTAAAACTTTAGTAGATTCACTTGCGTACCAGTATATAGGTTTCTACGTGCCAGATACATATCTTTGTCACCACACGTGTCTATCTCGCCTGTATATATTTATACAAAAATGTATATCAATTAACTGATAAACAAACCCTGTCAGTGAAAATTGTTCAGGTCTACAACTAAAAACTTCCACCTAACTGCTTTGTGCCATTTATATATATAATCTCAGTGTTTGATCCTGACACGTTGACTCGTATTATATCGTGACCTTGTGCCGGACATCTCAAATGCTGTGAGAGATACGCGGTGTCACACCGGTATTGAAACAATCATTGTATTGTAGGATTGCTTATCTTAAATAGAGCTTCGTTACAACTGTTTTATAGCAGCTTTTGTGCATAGATCTTCAATTAATTATACACTGCCGTCCTAAATCATAACTGTTATGTACTTAGGATGTTTACATTGAGATATGACTGGGTGTACATTGATATTGTGCCATGTATGTATACGGTTCTAAAATATATATTTACGTGGACATGTGTTAAATGATAATTAACGAAGCACACATTCGAATCTATTGTTGTTATGGATGAGTATCTAATATTTGTCAACATATGTACAGTACTATACCTTGTACGACAACAACATATGTACAGTAACATTCCTTGTACGACAGCAACCTACGTACAGTACTATACCTTGTGCGACAACAACATATGTACATTATTATACCTTGTACGACAACACCATATGACAGTACTGTACCGTGTACGACAACAACATATGCACAGTACTATCCCTTGTACAACAACAACATATGTATAGTACTATGCCTTGTACGACAATAACATATCTACAGTACTATTCCTTGAACGACAACGACATATGACAGACCTGAACCTTGTACGCCAACAACATATGTACAGTAACATTCCTTGTACGACAGCAACCTACGTACAGTACTATACCTTGTGCGACAACAACATATGTACAGGACTAGACCTTGTACGACAAAATCATATGTACAGTACTATACCCTGTACGACAACAACATATGCACAGTACTATACCTTGTACAACAACAACATATGTATAGTACTATAACTTGTACGACAATAACATATCTACAGTACTATTCCTTGAACGACAACGACATATGACAGACCTGAACCTTGTACGCCAACAACATATGTACAGTATTATACCTTGTACGACACCAACCTATGTATAGTACTATACCTTGTACGCCAACAACATATGTACAGTAATATGCCTTGTACGACAGCAACCTAGGTACAGTACTATACCTTGTACCACAACAACATATGTACAGTCCTATACCTTGTCCGCCAACAACATATGTACAGTACCATACCTTGTACGAAAACAACATATGTACAGTACCATACCATGTACGACAACAACATATGACAGTACCGTACCTTGTACGACAACAAAACATGTACAGTGCTATACCTTGAACGACAACAACATATGAAAGTACTGTACCTTGTACGACAAAAACATATGTACAGTATTATACCTTGTACGACACCAACCTATGTATAGTACTATTCCTTGTACGACATCAACACATGTACAGTACTATACCTTGTACGACAACAACATATGTACAGTACCATACCTTGTACGACAACAACATATGTACAGTACTATACCTTGAACGACAACGACATATGACAGTACTGTACCTTGTACGACAACAACATATGTACAGTACTATACCTTGTACGACAACAACATATGTACAGTACTATACCTTGTACGACAACAACATATGTACAGCTACAGATGTAAAACTATTCTCTCCTAAATCATAACAGAATGGTTTAAATAATTTAAATTACGTTTTATATATTTGTGTATATGTTATACATTATTAAAAGGTGAGACTTCAATGAAAAATATAAGTATGTCTATTCGTTATAAGTGTAGCGTATCTAAAACGTAATTGTCATATAATTGCAGTGTATTTCGTTTACTATGTTCATGGCATGACTGAGCACAAACTAACACTAGGTTGATATCTCCACAAAAATCTTTAATTCAATATGTTAATGATATGCACTACAGAATGTATATAGCAAGTATATCCTCATGGTTAGTAGGCCGTTTAGCCCGGTTTCACTGATTCTGCTTCACTTTCGTTTTGTTGGGACATTACGTACTCAAAACCGTCACGGTCATGGTCGTTTGTAGACGGTAGAGCTATTTATAGCGTTCCCATTATGTTCCTCTCGGGTTAATATACACACGATTCTTAAACTGGAATATCGTGACGTCATCTTACCAAGAATTAACTGGAATATCATAACGCCATTTTACCAAGAATTACTTTGAGTATTATAACAACATTTTACCAAGAATTACCTGGAATATTGTAATGTCATCTTACCGACAATCGTGAGAAATTATAACGTAATCGTACCAAGCATTACACGTATGTCTATTTTTATAAGTTTAAAAATAATGTCAACGGTAAAACCCGTAGAGTATTTACACTCTCGAAGCGTCTAACATATTCGTTCCTCGCGTGCACTTATTTTTTTTTTTCACTTTAACGTATATACTTTTTTTTAATATTTGAATTATTTTTATGTCTTTCCTATTGTTTGATTTTTTCCACAGCTTTTTATTCTTGTCGCTTTTATTCTTGTAGCATTTTCAAATGCTACAACATAACTGTGAAACAAACTATTTAAAAAAGGACAGATCCAATCAGATTCTTTTCTAGTTTTTATTTATTCAGTTTTATATTCTTCAAATGGCTTTACCCAAGTGCTTGTTTATTCATGAACTTACACAAATACATTATGCCCTTTAAGCTTGGATAAGGGCTGGTTCTGGTAACTAAGATAAATTGAGTTATGATGATATCAACAGATCATCTTGAGTAATTAGTGGAGGTTTTAGTTTTGTATGTATGCAAAATCAAGTGGTCAAGAGGCCTTTTTTAAGGTATAATTTCATCAAGCCAGCTATAAAAGTCCTTTTGTTTTTATTTGTTTATTTTTTTTTATAAGAAAAAATATTTAACTATTGAAGATGTTTATATTATGTTTCAGACTATTGCGACACAATGGCGTCTCAGAAACTTCACAAAGTAAGCGACCTTTTTAAATCCGCCACCTACGGAGACGTGGGCGCTCTGACGGAGGCAGTGAAGCACGGCGTGCCGATAGGGTCAATAACAGCGGGAGGGTCCTCCGTATTACACTTCGCTGCATATGGAGGTCACGCTAGAATGGTTTCACATCTACTAACAAACTACCCCGAATGCATAGAGATAGGTCATGGCCTCGACATGCAAGGATATAACGCACTACATAACTGCTGTGCATTTTCAGGAAGTATTGGTGTATTCCAGGAACTACTGCGAGCTGGATTTGACATACATACGAAGACGTCGGATGGACTGAGTGCGTTAGAGCTGGCAGAAAGGTTTGAGAAAAACGACTTGGTGCGGCAAATCCGAAACTCAGAGAGTGACCACGCAATTGGTATGTGTTGTGTGTGCTGTTTATAGTACGGATAAGTAAAAAACCAGTGGGATTCAGTAAAATTAAAAATCTGTTGGATTCGGTACCCGTTTTGCTTTGCTATGTGCTATGCGATATAATAATGAAACACTTGAGCTTAATTGAAAACCGAATGTTTTTATTATTAAGCCTAAGGACCACTGTATCATAATGAAATCAAAACAATATTCACAAGACTTGCAATGATTTTTCTTGTCTCAAAACATTTATTTGTATTTGACCATTATCCACAAAATGACGTCATACATTGGGTTACACGAAAAACATGTTGTCCCCATAAAACGTAACGATAGTGTACACATGATGTTTGCTCAGAGATAAATATTTAGATATGAAATGATTAATTTGATATATCTATGAAATGTATCACAAAATCTACATATACTTTATTCTTGTTCGGGGTATAACGCCCCCCTAAAAGCTAAGGTTATATGGAGACGGGGAGGGATATGCTTTTGTTATTGTTCGGGGTATAACGCCCCCCTAAAAGCTAAGGTTATATGGAGACGGGGAGGGATATGTTTTTGTTATTGTTTGGGGTATAACGTCCCCCTAAAAGCTAAGGTTATATGGAGACAGGAAGTGAAGTACTTTCGTTTTGTTCGGGATTTAAAGTCCCACAAAAAAGTTTAAGTTAAGTGGATACAGGATGTAAAGTACTTTCATTTTGGTCGGGATATAAAGTCTCCCCGAAAGCTAAAATCATATGGAAACGGGAAGGAATTTATTTTCGTTTTGTTCGGGTTTTTATGAAGATAGCTAGGGATGTATTTTCGTTCTGTTTGGGGTGTTATGAAGATAACTAGGGACGTATTGTCGTATTGTGCGGGTTTTCACGTTCTCCCAAAAGGTTAGGTAATATATATTGCTAGTCACATTGTTTTCGTAAGTCAATATTTGGATTTGTGTTTCAAAAGGAGAAACGAACTTACTGGAAGGGCGAGCAAAAGATGAGGGTTTATCAGGCATGGAACAGCCAGATGAGGGTGAGCTTTCCATTACAAGTAATGAGATTGACGATGCAGACGACAGCGTAAGTTTGTTTCTGTGTTTATACAATTACCCTGTACGCTATTTCCTTGGTCAATCTTCTAATTATGTACGACGCCATGGAACAATACTTTGTGTGACCTCATCTTCTTCTTATACGTCATTATTGATTGCAATTGTTTTCCGATCGACCAGGAAATAATACATTTTCGACAAAAAGACATATGGTTTGCAAAATATAATATGATCACTACCGGAGAACCTAAAAATTTCAAGAAATATTTTAATAAAAATTCGTTTTCTGAAAAATATATAAGGGGAGCTAACTGCGTTTAGTAACGCCGGGAATGCACGCGTACTTGATTGTTGGTGAAACCCATTCACCCCTAAAGTCACGTTTAAACCTTACCAACTCAAAGACTGGGCAAGTCCAGTTTAGATATGTAGGGGTGAATGACTCAGACTATAGCTTATAGTTACCTTCCATTATTTGTAATCATTATTTAAAATAGCTCCATGTATTTCAAATAGCGCCTTCATAGAGACATCCATGTACTGGGCAGACTTTTAGTCACCATATTAATGACACGTTCTAACTGTTGTTTAAAGGAATGGAGGAGATATACAATTGTAGACTTACTCTCCAGTGCCGAGAAGGGAGACGTGGAGTGGTTAGACAAGATAGTCAACAGTGGTGTCGATATAAATACAACGACCAAGGGTGGATCTTCTGTGTTACATTTTGCAGCAAGTAATAGACAGATCAAAATGATATATCACCTGATAGGAAAATATCCCCTCTGCCTGGACAAAGGTAAAAGTTTTGACCCCCAAGGATATACTGCGCTTCACCATGCTGCTCGATTAGGTATGACTTCTATTTGTGAGGCATTAGTCGCCAAAGGGTTTGAAAGGGAAAAAACAACTGCTGATGGACGAAGTATTCTAGACCTAGCTAAGGAAGCAAAACAGACTCATATGATCGAATATCTCGAGAAGACTGCATACTCTTCCTACAACCACGGTTAGTTCCGACTTATACTCTGGATCTATCTTTATCATTTCCTTTCTGTAATAGTTTTCTATATTTGGCAGGGTGTCACCGTTCATCCATTTGTTATATGAACAAAGAATCTAAGTTGGTGTTGGAAAAAAGGGTGGAATAGTATACAAGATGTTGATTAATCAGGTTGCCTTACAAGCGTCAGCTGTAGGGAATTTTCTTTTAGCTAAGTGGTAGAGCGTCCGACTAGGAACCTGGAGATCGAGGGTTCGATCCCCGGTGGAAACACGCTATTCTCTTTCCTGTTACAAACGGTGTCCGTGGCCCTCTCTGTGGTGACGGGGAGTAAGAACCTGGGTTGTAGATAGTTGTCTTTGGGTGCAAAGACTTATAAAATGGAGGGAGGAATGAAGCGGAACTTGACTGGGTCGATCGTCGGCGACCAGATAGCTCAATTGGTAGAGCGTCTGTCTTGAGTTCGGAGTGTCTCGGGTTCGAACCCCGGTCCATAGGTTCATTGGTGAGGGAGAGTTGTCAAAATTTAATAAAATTATATAAAAACGGGAAGGCATATATTATCGTTTTGTTCGCGTTTTTATGAAGATAGCTAGGGATGTATTTTCGTTTTGTTCGGGTTTCACGTTCTCCCAAAAGGTTAGGTTATATATATTGCTATTGCTATATTGTTTTCCTAAGTCAGTGTTTGTTTTTGTGCTTCGAAAAGGAGAGACGAATTTACAGGAATGTCGAGCAGAAGATGAAGGTTTATCAGACATGGAACAGCCAGATGATAATGAGCCTACCATTACAAGTAATGAGACTGACGATGCAGACGACAGCGTAAGTTTGCTCCGGTACTTATACACTCACTATTGGGTATTACCCTGTACGCCATTTCCTTAATCGTCTAATTATGTACGACGCCATGCAACAATGCTTTGTGTAACCTCGTCTTCTGTTAATACATCATAATTCCTTGCAGGTGTTTTCCGATCGATTTGATAATAATATATTTCCGAAAAAAAGACATATGGCTTGCTAAATATAATATGATCGTTACAGGAACAAAATATACTCACCCTGGTTATGTTGATTATCATCTTAATCTAATTCTCATCAATTAATTTGTTGCAAAAGATACTCGCTAAGCTTCGAGTCTTTATCTAATTCTGAAAACTATATAATGAGAGTTAGATACTATTTGGAATAAGATTCTTCAGTTTGGTATGAACGCTCGTTTTGAACAAAAACCGGAATTGAAAACTTTATTTTGCGAGCTTTTGAAATTGTCTGTTTAACCGATGTCTCGACACTAAACCAATTAAAACATCTCACTAAGCCGAATCAGGGAAGTCTGCTGTCAGAAATCATAGGGACCATTCGCCCAATAGCACTCCAATACTGCATGCAGTCTGGATCAACCATCGATTGGTTGGGAACATCTCTACATCATTATATCAACGATAACATAATGGTTATAAGGGAATACAAAAGCAAACTTTACTTTGTTTCCCTGCGAAGGAAAGAAAGCTCAAATTCTTATTCAGTCGAAATCTAGCACATATTTAAATGTGTGATAATAATAAATTTGAAAACCCCTCGGCTGGAATTTCCCTATCCTACACCCCTGGGCATGAAAGAGTCTTAAAATATTATTTGTTTCTAATACCTATCTAAAAAACGGTTCTATTGTTTATATAAAATGCTTATATACAAAATATGTGCAATGATAATATTTCAACGAAAAACCGAATGTACATTTAAAGCCAAAAGATCAATAATACTAATAATATATATAATATATGACGTACCTAACCTTAAATACTAAAAGAACAACCGTTAAACCGTAGTGATATTCATTACCCATAAATACATAGATCATAGATATTGTTAGCCTCATTTACAGCCAGACATTTCATTACTGAAAGCGTCGATAAAAAAATGTGCGTGAAAAAACAAATGTTTAGTTTAGGTTTGATTTAATCCTTGTTGTGGACGCCTATATTTACAGTCTTGTTTTGTTTTAAATGGCTCAAACTGCTAATTGGCCATAAAACTATACAAAACAAACTACAGAAATATACAGTTATTTCGTAAATTATAATAAAACTATATATATAGAGGTTCCTCAACGAGTAACGATTGGTTATCATGTTTATCTTACTCGAGTTAACTAACTAAAAATACATCATGTGTGTCTCCGATTGGGGAAACAATTGCCATGGAGCATGACGTCACAATGGAAAATGACGTCACAATGGAAAATGACGTCGAAAAGCATTGTTACGTGACTTCATAAATCAAAGATTGACAAATGAAATCACTTCCAGGGTGTAACCCACTAGTGGTTAATCAAAAATGTTTTCCAACTCTTAGAAGGTTTATCCAATGAGTCATGAGAAGAAGCCCATAGTGGTTGTGGGAGACAATTAGTTATTTGTCATTCCATAACCTATTAGTTCTTATTCCGTTAACTACATCAGTAACATAGACTATATTGATATTTATTGTATTGATGATTTTTAAGTTATCATGAAAAGAGCTATATTATGATTATATCAACTATATACGTTATCTTTAGGTATAATAATTTACAAATCTTTATTTATATTATTGTATGATGATTGGTTTGAATTTATAACTTGTCGTTATATTAACATGCTATTTTTTTCGACCCAAACATATTTTCTATCTTAAATTTCGAAAGGCTTCTAGAGCTGGAAACCCTGAATCAAGCTTACTTACAAACTGTTTCCACTTACAGGAGGGAATTTATTCATTATCGGTTTCAATTCACAACGTCTCTTATATCAATTCCTCTGTCTTTATTTATTTATTTATTTACTCAACTGGATACTCCTGCTTAAACAGTAGGAAAGAGTTTGATAACGATTTTTTTCCTCAGAATTTCCTGAAATATTTTAATAGGGAAATGCTTTCCAAAAATATAAGTGGAGCTGACTACGTTAAGTAACCCCTGCAGGAAATGCACGCGTCCTTGAGTTTTGGTGATTGATGGTCACGTTTAAATCTTACCAACTCAAAGACTGGGAAAGTCCAGTTTAGATATGTAAGGATGCATGACTCAGACTATAGCTTATAGTTACCTTCCATTATTTGTAATCATTATTTAAAACAGACTCACATGAACGAACATCCCGAGAAGTCTGCATACTCTTCCTACATCTACGGTAAGTTCCAACTTATACTCTTGATATGTCTTTATCATTTCCTTTCTGTAATTTTTTTTCTATACTGGGCAGGGTGTCACCGTTCATCCATTTGTTATATGAACAAAGAGACTGGGTAGGTGTTTGAAAAAAGGGGGGAATAGCGTAAGAGATGTGAATTAATTAGGTTGCCTTACAAGCGTCAGCTGTAGGGAATTTCCCTTTAGCTCAGTGGTAGAGCGTCTGACTAGGAACCTAGAGTTCGAGGGTTCGATCCCCGACAGAAGCACACTATTCTCTTTTCTGTTACAGATGGTGTCTGTAGCCCTCCCTGTGGTGACAGGGAGTTAGAACCTGGGTTGTAGATAGTTGTGTCTTCGGGGGGAGAAGACTTAGTAAAGGGAGGGAGGAATGTAGCGGAACTTGACTGGGTCGATCGTCGGCTCCTTTCTGTAATTTTTCTCTACTTAATATGGTGTCACCCTTCATCCATTTGTTATATGAGATGTATTGACGTAAAACCGAGCTTTCATCCAAGGAAGTATTTATTCTTTTTTTATATGTGTTCTTGTTGGTTTATTACAAATAAAGAGTATACATAAATAGTATGAAAGGGTGATGTAGGATTTTCTATTGCGTATTGAAATAAGACATGTTATGTAAAGGCTCATATAGCACAACTAGTGAAATATTTATGTGTAACGTTTGGATGACTAGTAGGACACCTTTTCATCTTCATCGTAGGAGGCACGGTAGTGTAGTGGTAGAACGCCGTGCTCGTAACCGAAGAGTTGCGGGTTCGAGTCACGACACGGCACTGTGTTGTATCTTTTGTTTTTTTTATCGCTTTGAGCAAGATACTTTTCTCCGCTTGTTCCAGTCTACTCAGCTGTAAATAAGTATGTGGTTAGGCAGTGCTAGAATTGTAGAATGCTATCTATGAGCATCGAAATGGCAGCACTGGCTGTATGCTCCCCAGGGAGTTGAGAAAGATATTGGCTGGTAGCAAAGGCCCTATAACCACGGATAATAATTTGTTAACCGCTTTGAGACGACCTACGAACAACGTTGTGATAAAGCGGTATATAAGAACCTCGAATTATTATTATTATTATTAATTAGCATGATTTAGAACTCAGTATAGCGTATGAACAAGCATTTGCCAAATGATGGCAAGTATATATCGCACAAGACATCGAAACATCACTCTTTGACATTTCACCTGCTGTGATATATGAATATGACTATTGTATATTATATACTGTACAATCACGCTATATTATATCGAGGTTTTAAATATATCTACTGACCAGAAGGAAAATAATTCGAAATAGACAGAGAAAAAAGACAAATGTGTTGTTATGATTATTACATAATCCATTATTTCAAACTTTCAATTACTGTAACACGTGGTTTATTTAATTCATAGTTAAAACTGGCCGATCTATAATGGATGATGGATACCATAGCTTTCCCAAAGGTCCTACACCTCCAGTCAGCTTGATGACAGCCGAAACGGTAACGGGGGACAGGCGGAAAGATGCATGTGATGTAGTTCCGTCTGTCAGGGACGATATCAGCGAAGATTCACTTGATGTAGCTCCATTGGACAGGGTCGATATAAGGGAAGATTCACGTGAGGTAGTTCCACTTGTCAGGGACGATGTATGGAAATATTCACGTGGTATAGCTCCACCTGTTGCACCAGAAGACTCTTTTAAGAAATGGATCGGTCTACATCGTTCTGCAGCAGCGGGCAATTCTTTGGATGTTATAAAAATGATTGAAAATGGGGCAGACGCAATGAAGAAAATAAATAGTGTATTTTTCCCTAACATTGATTTGAAAAACAAAGAAATGCTAACGCCGATGGAAGTGGCGTTCTACTCGAAAGAGAACGAGATGGTGGGACTTCTGGTCAGTTATACAGACGAAGAGATCGTTAGGAAATGTCTGTCGAAGTGTGAGGACACATATCTTGAAACAAAGCCATACATTGTCAAAGGAATACTGAGGAAGAAATACAAAGATAAATGCATTGATATCGTCTTTGGAGAACTACATCCAGAGAAATTGAAAATGTTTGTTATATACACAAAAACAATTATACATGGCAGCGAAACAACCGAGTCTGGCTACCGTGTGCTGTTTCGAGATCCAACCGTTTCCAGTGACGAGGGTCGGAAAGTGTTGCGTCACAGCCACGAACAAAATTATATATTGTCAGATGCTGACAGGGGATTGGTAGCACAATCCATTAAACAACACAGCGACAAACTTTGGAACGATCATTCAAACCTGCGAGGCATCATGTCTTCACCGGTAAAATCTGTTGGAGGTAATTTCACAAAGAAGACGTGTTTGGTTATTCTTTGTCATTTCAAAGGCTTTGTTCCAGACAATGAGCCGTTATTTCCGCGCGAAATACAGATAGGTAATGACGTGCTTCCTGTCGACGTAAGGGAGGGACAAGTCGCCCTACATCACGTGATGTGTCCCGACGCTCTACACACTCCTCTCAGTTTTGGATGTAACATCGGCTCTGCTGACGACTATACGACCAGGTAAGTCCAATTCATGATCGATATACAAAACATAATTTCTTTCTGCAGTCTTTCGTGATTTTCTCGTTGGACGTGGCGGATCTTTTCTCTTCTACGACTGCAGACCACATGCTTTTCTGTCTCTGTGGGGGAATGTTATGCATTTGTTTCATCTCTTTTCTTTTTTCCTACCTGTGGTCTTTAAGAATTAAGACGAGTTCCCATTTTGTGTGTAACGTTGTCGTTTTTTTTCTAGGGACTACTAGCGATACATTTTCACTTTTATTATTGAAAATCTTACTTCCTCTTTGCGCAAATTTGCCGAGTAAATGGAAACATGTTTATTCGAGGTAAACACACAGCTAAGCAAGGCATTTCCTACTGTAGTCTCCATTTTTTTGGCAAACTTTCACACAAAGATATATCACACTGCATGATACATATATTAAACAATATATAATTGTTTATATCGTCTGAGTATATTGTAAACTGTTATCAAGGTTAGCCCAACATCACATCAGAGTGTTACACTTAGACTTCAAGACACTGCATTTTGTGTAGAAAGTAGGGCTGGCAACGGTTCGCCGGTTAGACCATTACTAGGCCGGAAGACCACGAACCGGTATCCAAATCAAATACGCTGTAACCGAAAAGTCGGAAATATACTTTTCCCTTTGGGGAGCCCTGAGTTAGACCAACAAATTATTTATAGATGCGACTAAATAGGATAGTTTTGTAATAAACAGTACTCAGACTTACATGTTTGTGTTGCCTTTGTTCTTTATTGTAAATATTGACATAGAGATGCCACCAACACCATAAAAAGCCTGAATACATTTAAAACAGAAGCCAGAATATAAAGGTTAAAAATATCCTCTGGAAGAGGTCGAGCTTGCTTTTACATGCGAGATGTAAATATAATCCAAAGAGTACACACTTGAATAAGGAAACATGGCTTTAAACTTTTGTCGATCAAAGTTTGTTTTAAAAAATAATATTTCCGCATATGATTTCGAGTAGAGATAACTGTAATTGAATCCCTGTACTTAAAATACTGTATCCAAACATTTGTTGTCAATGAAATAAACTTACTTAGTATACATCTGTGAATGAAACGTTTCCCTGCGTCTAGCTTGAAATACACGAGTAAAGTATCATGCTAATTAATATATATGTTACGTTTGTGGTGTTAATACATATTATATTAATTTGATTGCTGTCGTTTATTACTTGATAACCAAATTGACAGATTAACCGGTTACTCACTCGGAAGATGTTTCGATTTATAGTTTACCAAACTTTGAGACCGGTTCGACATAATTAGTTTTGTTACAAAACTATAACCTTTGGGAGGATTAATGTAATAATTAAATATGAAATCTTTAGATGACCTATGATTACAACAATGCAATATCTGCATAAAAGATACCAGTCACACTGCACCGTGTTTTTTTGTTAACACAGTGACCTCCCACATATTTGGTGCAAATTTGTGCATTTTATTGCTAAACATCAAAACACTTAATTGAAACGAACTATATGTTTTTTTGCAATTTTAATAATAAGCTTCGCTTATGATGAAGTGATATATGTGCAACATAAGCGTTCTAAACTATCCAATATAAAAAACGCGCCAAATTATGCTGCAAAACAAATATTGGGGACAACGCGTAGCTGTCAGTATCTGATTTATGCTTTTTAACAGGTAACCATCAAACGTATGTTAGACATTTAAGTCAACAGAGAACTAATAGACTCATGCGTAAACAAATATTTAGGAAATGCTCTACGTACTATGGGATTTAATTAACCACGTGAGCTTACATGTGTGAAACGTCTAATATGGCAAAGTTCTGTTGTCGTCTGCCGTTTTCCATCTCCACAAATAAAAACATTTACATATTTGTGTAACAGGTTTGGTACCGTTGGCCCGTTTGTGCAGCTGAATGATGATAAGATCGGATTCATCACGTGTGCACATGTTGTTTATGGCAACTATAGATTCGTTGGAGATAGCTTACCTGACATTACTGTCCTGCAACCAAGCAACGGAGACACGGCCTTTCCGGAGGAGGCACGGATATGTGGTAAAGTTGTTAATTTGAAGTACAGTCTGAACGAAGATACCTCGATAGATGTAGCTGTCGTAGAGATCACTGTTCCGGAGAGAAAGCCCTCGTCACCAGGATTTGCAGCCTACAGCCAGGAACAACTCACTGGACGAGGTTTACTACCTTTTCACATATTACGATTCATCCTCGATATCCAGGGGTTACGATCACTTACACTCTCTGCACCCCTGGAATACATCATAGCAAAAATGAACGCTCAGTGTGCAGCACCTTGTGGACGAGACGAGAAGACTAGTTTGATCCTTTGATTACATCAAAAGAATCTCGCGGTCGTGTAACGATAAAACTTACTGGCGTTGAAGTCGGGCATCTCTCCTCTGTAATCTATAAAGGACAAGTATCAGCCTAGTGATTGGTCAGGTTTTTGTACCTGACCCAATCAAATAGCTAGCCGCGTGCCTTCAATTTTGCTATGACATATTCCAGGGTTATAGGGATCGAAAGTGAGCGTAACCCCTGGATATCGAGGATGATAACGATTATAATTTATGTCATATATTTTAAACTGATTAATCCAAGTTAATGTTAAAAACTTATCTGGACACCTGAGGGAGTTTTCTGATGGAACATTTACTTAATTAGTATTAATCTGCAGTCTTATTACAATGCATCAATCCTACAAGATATTCATTCTCATTGTGTGTGGCCTAATCAAGAAAGTTACCCTAGTAGATATGCAATTCAACTTATTGTGGCTATGTTTAAGAAATTTGTTCTACAAGATATTTATTTCAATATGTGTGGCTATATTTATTTCTACTTTATAAGACTATGTCCAAGAATCAGTCCTTCTAGATTGGTGTTTCCACTTGATAGGGCTATGTTTAAGAAGTGTATCCACCCAAATATTAATTCCCATGGTATGTTAGTATTTTCAAGATTTTAATTCTACTTGATATTTGTTTCACTTAATAGGACTATGCTCAAGAAATTTATCCTGCTAGCATATTTATGTCAACTAAATGTAGCTATGTTTAAGAAAATCATTCTACTAGGTATTTATTTCTTTTTGTGTTGACGGGTGTTTAATACTTCTGAAAGATTTTGATGGACGTAACCTGACAGCAGGAGTCATTCCTGATATGGTGTACTTGAAATAGTAGTATAGGATTAAATTATCTGCTGTATCCAAATGTTATGAATCGGTAGCGTCATAAAGTGATTTACTGATAAATTTCTTTTTGTTGTATTTATAAACATGCTTCGGAACTCTTCAGAATTATATTTCATTTTTGACCAGTATCACGGATGATAGCCTAATGGAGTAAAGGACCAATGGTGTATTTAAACAAAAATACTTTGTTTGACTCTCTGCGTTGACAAACTAACTTTTAAATAGTTGTATCATTACAGCATATTAATGTTAATTATATCAAATATCAATTAATATAATAGTTTATAGAGATATAATGGTCATCCAGAGTCTAAATAGTATGTAATGAATAGTATTCAGATAGAAATAAAAACAAAAGAATTGTTTACACAAACGTGTTTAAAGTTATAAAGGGCTTCAGAAAGGTGTCATACTTTGTAAAGCATTAAAATGATATATTTCAAGAAAAAAAAGTTACATACACTCCTTTGAAAATAATATGCACAAATATTATTTGGATTTATAAATTAAATTTGGCAAAATGTATCAATATGTAGTTTTTCATCACATCTATTACAAAATAATGTATCAATCGGTTGTCAATTATTATTCTTTTTCAGGAATATCGGAGAATATACCGCTATTCAACCATGGTGAATGTGGTGAGCCTACTGTAGGTCGGGAAGTCGTCAAGTTCGGAAGTGCTTCCGGTGTGACGTACGGGACTTACAGAGGAATTGAGACATCCGAATTCAGTTCCAAGTTGTACGGTAGAACCTCAGAGACAGAGCGATGGAGGGGGGTCTACTACATTGAGAACCGACAGTGTCAGGAGAAGGACTGTCAGCTCCCGCCTTTCTCCACTCCCGGCGACTCTGGCGCAGGAGTGTTCCAAGTGAGGGACGATAACTCCCTTATCTGTGTCGGTATCTTGGTTGGAGCCGACACAGCCACTGGATCTGGCATTGTGATTCCAATCAAACCAATTCTGGAAGAATTTAACCTCACCCTAAAAATATTTCAACCTCAAGAACGACTCGACCCAGTTTTACAAACATCATAAATGGTCATCAAAGTTATGATTTAATCATTTTGCTGTGAACTTCAATAATCAGAGACAAAAAAGTTTTTCGTAGAATTCTTTGAGAGCAGATATGAAATAAAATGTTTTCCTCTTAAAAATTATGACCTTCGGTCACAATTCATATTTTTAACATTGAAATAACCTGACGTATTTGGAGAATATGATTCGTTATGTACTCTGTTTCAAGGCCATGTGATCTTTTTAAAACCAGCACGAACTATTGAATAAATTGTTTTTGTTAATCTGATGCAAATCACGGTCCAGTTTTCGCTGGAGATATGTAGTTGGAATATGCGGTAATGGAAATAAAATAGTCACAAAGTGTTGTTTGTTCCACATTGAACACAACTGTGTAGTATATATGTCAAATATTAGTAATAACTTTATTATTCAGAAATAAGTTATTGACTGGTCGTTTCGTTGCCGAGATGCAGTGGGAATATCACATGAAAGTGAGCAAAATTAGAATTATCCCATGTCATGCCTGTATGAGTGGTTATTCCTTTGAAGATTGTGATCACTTCTTCCTCAATTGTCATTTTTAAATGAACCAAAAAATATCCCTTATTATCTCCATATCTAATCTGAGCGCTGAAATTCCATTGGAAGTCCAAACGTTTTTGTATTGTTGTCAAAGATCTTGTGTTTATTTGAATATATTTACTTTGGAGATTATTCAGAGATATGTTTTGGATACTTAGCGTTTTTTGTTTTTTTTAATAAATGTATTTGTTGTTGCGGGTACTGATCGGCTTGTCCTGGGGTTCCAGCTCAGAATGGTGTGAGCTTATGGACACTTTGTCTGTACTGGTCTACAGTTCATGTCCAATCAACCTGCCGTTTAAATTATGAAGCAACTTCATATTACTTGTAATAATTGGTGATTCAATAATATCTTATATTATTATTTCATAATGATAATCCCATATTTTTTATATATTTTTATATCAGTCTGTGTATTTCTTCTTTTTATATGTGTGCACTGTTCATGTTTTAAGAAAAGGGTTTTCACAGCATTTTTCTGTTACCAAAATCCATTTGTATGTCAGAATTGTACAATAAAATATTTTGACATAAAAATTATTACAAAAAAATCATAAGATTATGTTGTAAACATTAAAAACTTCAGATCATGTTCTATTTAGTAATTTTTACTTGTATTTTTTGTAATGATTTTTTGATTTCATATAACTTTGGTTCGTTCTCATTATTGGTGTTATCTCCTCACTAGTAACATATTATTTTATACTTAAACTTCTGAATGAAAATATATAATAGTGTTCCACAAAAGGGGTTAAGAGTTACTGTACGGACTTTAGCAAGTCTGGAATGTGATATCTTTATGATCCAAAGCGTGTAGACTTGCTCCAGTCAATATATAGCCAAGGCTATATACTAGCTTTAATGCATACAACTTTAACACACTGATATCAATTTAGATATCATAAAATACGATTATCAATTAGATTTACATAACATAAGACACAAATATTGCATTAAAAAATGTAATTAAGATTATAAGAAAAGCCGAGGGTTTTGTCAAATTTAAAAATCCCGATGGTGGAAATTCTCTTTCCTACCCCCATGGGAATGAAAGAGTATTTTTCATTTCAACTAGCAGAATAAGCTCAGAAACCATGATAATGCGCTTTGACTGGCTACCATTTTGAAAATTTAATCTTTTCGACGAAAAACACATGTCAGATTGATTTAGCATGCCCCTTATCGGCAAACACTGTTTGCACTGAAAAAAGAATCTCATCTTTCTTACTTGTACCGTCAATATATTGTAAAAGGTTTTATTTTATTATGTTGCCGTTTCCGTTTTGCAGTATCAGACTTTTCCAAATGTGTGACGTAGCTTCATTATTGATGCATTGTGACGTCACGTGAGGGAAAAACTGTTTCCTTCTTTTAATCAGAGAATATGCTGAATTGGCTACCTCAGGTTTACACGAGTTCATTGTTTAGCAGGACAGCTTACCCTGAGACAATTGAGAAAACTTTAGCGACCTTACTAATAGCCGTACAGTTAACAATGGATAATCACCTCACAGACAGGTGTGACAAATCTGTCAGGTTTGTCTGCCTCGGGTGTCTCCAGGTTTGTCTGCCTCGGGTATCTCCAGGTTTGTCTGCCTTGGGTATCTCCAGGTTTGTCTGCCTTGGGTGTCTCCAGGTTTTCTGAACGGTTGAGTTAGCAAGGGTATTGGCCTACTGTAATTAGTGTCATTGCAATGATGCTAGTTCGGCTGTGTATTATTACTGGTCGAGAGAGTGGCCGAGAGGAGAAGGGCGATCGGAGAGACTATTTCAACACAAACCAATACTTTTATTTGGGCGACTACATTTTGTTTATTTTAATAGATCATTTTTCCAACGTCCCATTACTTGCATTTGAAATCTAAAATGAAAACAGAATATTTTAAGTTCAAGATGTTAGTGGTGATCAATATTTCAATGTTTGAATTATTTTATTTACACAACAATATAACACTGTCATTTGGCTTGTTCTAGATTCCCCCACTTTAAAAATAAAATCTGAAGAAGAAGGATCATAGTCTGTTTCGGGTTATATTGACAGGATTAACCTGTATTTCACTAGTGTTTTCTGGTCATATTGACAGGATTTACCTGTATTTCACTAGTATTTTTGGTTATATTGACAGTATTTACCTGTATTTCAACAGTGTTTTCACCTGTGGTCAACTGCTCTTAAAACGTCTTATCTTAAAGCTGATATTGTTTGATAAAATGTCATAAATGATGGAGATTTATGATAAAAAATTCAATATTAAAAGCATTTTGTATTAAATTTGTAGTGATTGTGATCCCGATATGACATTCGATAAAAACTCTTAAAGATATTTTGTAATCATTTTGTAGCGTTAACATATTATTTAAATACTAGTGGAAAATAGGTCGTTTTAAGCAATATAACAAAAAATATCTTTATTATTGCATTATTGAATGATATGCATTAAATACAAAGTGATAATTATATATTGTTGTACTTATACTTGACAGGCAATACCACATTTGTATACAAATACGTAAAATTTCCATACTTCACCAAATCGAAACTAAAGCTAAATGTTGTGGGTTGCAAGGCGGATAAAATTACGATTTCCATATCTTTCCTGAAATCATTTTTTATCTGGATTGTAGAATAAATAAGAGTATTTTAAAAGAGTTTTAATTCTCCCAAAGAGCATTGTTGTTTTCAACGACCGAAGAGTTACACGCTTAGCCTTGACCTTCATTTGTATTGTGTGATTAGTAAACGTAGTATATATGTAATATATTTCTGGATTTGACTTCTAATCGTGTAGAAATGATTGTGACTGTTTTTGTATTGAAATGAAACTTTAATGTAAAGGCTATTTTACAATTGAAATATAAGTACGGAATGTATTTTATCTTTTCTTGTACACGTTTCGGATGATTTAATAAATGAAAATGAAATATGTAAATTTAACCTATATTATATATTTGTGTTACGGTCGAAATACACCGTTCCTGTTCAACCAAAAGATAACCACGACAACATCAAACAGTTGACATATTTACTATTTACAAAAGCTATATACAGTGGTTATTAACATATTTACACAGTGAAATTTATTTTTTAGCTAACGACAGTCTACCGTGTTAATCACCATTTTAAGTACGCGTGAAAGAGAACTAGATATGGGTCCGGTTGCGGAGACTCCGGACACCGGACTAAAACGTAGAAAAACGAAATACGGAATATTTCTATAATTACCATAACACTTTGGAACTTATTACAAATAAACACTACTTTTAATTACTCTTATATAACATTTGACTGTAACATAATTTCTACTGATGGTGATATATTTGAACTGTTATGTTATGACAGACTTGATGTAAAAGTGAATGTGATTTGTGGTAATAGTTTGAAACTGTTGAAGCTAACTATAATCGGAGTGCCATTGTCTTTCTATGTGAACACCTTTCCTTTTTCTACAAAATGTTCGGCAAACGAAAACACCCCGTTTTTTTAATACAAATGTAATTCAGTTGACCAAAACAAGAGTATAATGAAAAAGACAGCCAAGCTTGTAAAATTGCTTTTGCAGTACAGTTATTAAATCATGTATACCACGGACATGGAAATCGTCAAAGTACATAATGAAGACTACATTATTTCAGTTAACAGAAGGTACATGTATCAATATATTGAGAGGTGATGCGATAGTAGCAGACTCGTATATTTAAAATACACTTCATAACCTCATACAGCTATACACTATTTATTGATATATTTATCGTATAAACGATGATTATTTTGTGCATCTAGTAAGATTCAACAATAAAGGTGAAATCTTAGATGGGGTGAAATCTTAGATTGGTCTGTGACAATATTTTCCCCGGCATATTGTCCTTTTTTTCTGATGATAGGCAGTCAAAATGTCACTCAAATAGAAAAATTAACTCCAACATCATCTTTGATCATATCAGTATCTGACTTTTGGAACAGGGAAGTTATATATAACAAATTGAGAACAGTTACCTCGGATGAACAGGAGGCTTTTGGCATCGCTATAGTGAGCCGTGCTGAATTCGTCTCTCTTATACCATCACAGAGAATCTCCGGAAGTGACATGTATGCTAACAAGTTTTCGCCAAAAAGGTGCGAAGAGTTACCTCACACTTATATATCTGGAAAACAAAGTGATGATTTCCATGTGATTTTCGGCCTTCTGGGGTTATGGTATATATCGAATTTACACAAAAAAATATTTTGACCTAAGTTGGCCCTTTACATTTCCTCACACGCGTGCTTTTACTTTTAATCTTTGTACCATTGTACCTTTGCAAGGGTCTTCATGTCAATCATCCTACCTTTATTTGTTGATAATTTTGCCATAGTTTATCGATTTTGAATTTGAATGATGATGTTGTTGAAACATGGGTATTCTTTTTTTTTTTTTTTTGTTGATTTAGGCTCAACACTTTATGAATTTATGTTAACGTATTACTCCTGTTTGGTGTTTAACATCTGCTCGATATCTCATATCTGTATCCAGTTGCTTTATACATGGTTAGATAAACGATATCTTCTCGCAATATTTGAAACTAAGTCATTTTCAACAAGATGGAAAAATGGTCATAAATAAAAGGATTTAAGATGTTGATCTTGTGACAAACAAACGCAGCATGATGACAAACAAAAACAAAAATAACTGCATTTTCTAATATTTAATCATCAATCACAGTTTTGAAAATTTAAATTAATGATAAGCTGATCATGCTTACGAACTGAGCCAAATAACCTAAACTAAAGACACGTTGCTCAATACAATACGCATTTTTCTCTCGGACCTTTGGCAGTATTTACGCGGTTCTCTCATCTATTTATTAATTAATTCAGATCCTGTTTGTCCTGTTTATTCACAAAGAAAGATGCTGATTTTAATGTCAGGCCGAGTTTTTATATCTCTGTACTTGATAAACCTCAACAAATCATGAGACAAAATGTGTAACATGCATCCATGGTCCGATTGCCTTACACACAAAGCCTACACAGTGAAATGTATAGACGGAATTGAACACAATTTATTTTTATTAATAAGTAATGTATTCCCCCCAAATATTTATTTCCACAGCATTTTTTTAAAATTGGTATTTATATATATATATTCTACGTGCAAGTTTATATATTACATATATGAATATTGTGAAAGGGGCTGTCCTCACCCCCGAATAATACGGTGTCCTCACACAGGAGGGCTCTCATCATTATAAGTTATTTGATTGTTAAGGCATCGTTTATAAGAAATACTATAGTACATCATGTCATACTTACTTGAGTTTACAGATAGACATCGGTAGGTTTAATACAATTTCATTCGGAATGAGATTAATCTGTTTGGAATGAACACTTGATACTCAGTTTGTTTTTAACACCAACAGTATTTGAACATTTATCTGTAGACAGCAAAATAATTATTTTATCTTACAAATATTCTTGTATACTAATGTGTCTCTGCTATCATAAAAAGTGCAATTGTTAATACATATCGGAAATTCTAGTTTTAAATAATTGATATTTCATATGTTTGACATTTTATACCATTGCCAAAAACGGACGTAATTGCGATATGTCACCGAAAACTGTTTTTTGTTTCTTTTTTGACCATTTGCATTGCAAAATAAAAACAAGGTGATGCAGGAAATATTTACTTACAGAGAGCACGTGATCATGCATCGGATTACGATGGTTTTTCCCGAGGTTTTGATATATATACTGTTTTATCGTAGTGACTGAGCTCAGGCTATTTTTGATTATACTCTTGTGCTTTATATACTATCTTTTGATTTTACGTAGGCGGGCCACAAAGCCACTGTGATAATGATAGGAAGATATCACGTTTAAACATCTAAATGCCTCTGCGTGACGTTTGACATGGTGTTTAAAAGCATACTAAGCTTCATGAAATGTTAAATAAAATTTCGAAAGAAGATTGTTGAAAAACATTTGAATCATAACATATGATGTTTTGTTACTCATCTTTAGACAATTGTTTTAAAATCATAAACACACAACCACAATTTCAGTTTTTAAAATCAGTACACTTTTAAGAAATGTTAGATTAAAATTTTGCGTCAAGTTTGAGTTAAGCTAGCAAGACCCTAAACAACCAGATCCTTGTTGTACATCAACGCTACGAATTTGATTGTTAGTGTAGTCGACGCTCCGTTAAACAAATATAATGCCACAGATAGCCCTTTTTAACGCTACACGATCATATCTCAATTTCAGCACATAACAACCTTCCGTGTTTGACAAGGTAATTTAAAATACTATTGACAATTTGTACAAATCTCTGTCATCTAAGCGATATCAAAATACACAATAAAATAATTCTTGTTCCAAAAACCATCTCATCCCCCTCATCCCCCCAAATTACATAACATGGTGAACATCTCACCCAATTACTTATAATGGTGACAGATGCCCCATTATTACAAATGGTGACCCCCTCATCTCATCCCCCCTCATCCCCCCAAATTACATAACATGGTGAACATCTCACCCAAATATTGATAATGTTAAACATAGAGGAGATTCAACAATTCCGTTATCAACTTTTCTTGAATTAAATTTAAGAAATGTACACTGACACAATGTAATGACACACGAAGACGAAAAGAAAAATCCAACACCTCATGGCGTGATTCGACGTTTTTTCTATACGTTTATCGAAATCATCACCGTTTCCCCATAATATGGTAGATGTATTGCACTTATTATTCTCATTTGCGTAATAGACCCGTGATCATTTTCACAACTCTGTGAATATTTTCACAGACAGATAAATTCATGAACATGAAAATAGACAGTGGCGAGCAGATATGATAGCTCATGTCCAATGATTCAATACAATATTAAGACTTAACAGAAATATTACGTCATTTATTACGGACAGAAGGAAGGAGAGAGAGGATTTCGACCAACATGTAGTCCGCTATTGGTAATGTGTGTTGACACTATGATTTTTCTACTCTAAAGCAATGTTTTTCACTTTAAGTTGAATCCGTTGTATATATTCGTATCTTCGTGGTTTTCGTTACACTAAAGCCAGCAGCTTATTTTGTTGGAAAATCACGGACATGTAGTCTTATCTAGATGTTGCATGATGAAACTTCAATATCAATTTAATTATTATGAGGAAATACATACGGTATGCTAGACATGATTAACATTGCACTGTCCAGCTTGTCGTCCTTCTAGCACTTATTGGTGATGCTAGTGGCGAAAAGGTGGAACATCCAGATTTTCTAAACTCCTTTTGAAACAGAAGGAAATGTGCATATACTGACTCAATTAAGAAAACTTTACAGTTTAAGAAGTACTTTTTAATTTCTATTTAAAAATAAGAAAAGTATTTATATAGTGAATCCTGCCACTACACAAAACAGACAAAACTAGCTATCATGATTACTGCGAACCCCGCGGACTAGAAATCCACCAGCAGGGTCTACCATCTTGCATCTTGCAAGATTAATGTTAAAACACACACGTCATTGTAACTGTTTAATTTTGTGATAGTGTATGCCAAAAATGAACAATATTACACCAAACAATAATTTTGTCGTTCATTTCAACTGCACATTTCAGAAATAAACACTAAGGTTACATCTAATTAATTGAATTGGTGATCTTGAGACAAGTATCCTTTCACTTTTCCGTAACTCTTGCTTACCAAGGAATATTCCATCGGACACTTACTGAACAAAGTTATCATGAGTTTACCATGGTTACTTATTTTTAGGTTAAAATGCAAAATATATTCCTACAATTACATCGTAACTAAAAAGTGCGTATTTGGAAAACCCGGTGATTACGTATTACGTATTACAATATTACGTCATTTATTACGGACGGAAAGATGGAGAGAGAGGAGTTCGACCAACATGTTGTCCGCTATTGGTAATGTGTATTTACACTATGATGTTATT